GGAGGGGGCGGCTGTGGGGGAGGAGTTGGAGGCGGGGCCACCCCAGGTGACGGCGGAGGAAGGGCTGTGGTGACCTTGTTCTCCTTCTGAGACTCCTGGAGCTCGAAGACTGAAGAGAGGAAACACACCTTCATCATTCTCTATCATCTTCATCATCCTCATCACCTTTTATTCAAGTTTAATAAAAAYGTTTTTATTTCCAGCCGATGACCTTTCACCCCTCCTGCTGGACTCGCAGTAAAAAAATTTCACCTCTTTTCTGCAGCTCGTCGTTCTTCTTCTCCGCCTGCAGCAGCCGTCCCTCCGTCTCCTTCTTCTCCTCCTCCAGAAGCTCCAGCTGCCTCTGAAGRTCCTCCAGCTGCTTCTTCACACAGCTGTCCTCCAGCTGCGCCTCCAGGTTCTGCACCTGCACACAGAACACGAGCGGTGAGAAGCTCAACGTGAGAGGCAGTTAAATAAAGTGAGCCTCCAGGTCCGACCTGCTGTTGATGCAGCAGACGCTCCTCCTCCAGGGTCTTGGTGACCGAGGCGATGTCCTCCAGAGCCTTCAGCAGCAGGACGCTGGGCTCGGCGCTCTGCAGCAGCAGCATGCTCTGCCTGTTGGCCTCCTTCTGCTTCACCAGCATCTGACGGACACGGAGGACGAGGGAGGCAGGAACGGTTAAAGCTAAAGATGAGCCGAAACAGCATCATTTAGTGTTTGTGTTCTCGTCTCTTCACCTCGTGTGCGTAACTCTCAGCTTTGACTCGGAGGTTCTGCTCCAAGTCGAGCTGCTCCTTCAGCCCATCGTACTCCTGAGCAGCCATCATGGAAACTGTGGAGAAAAAACAGGTAAAGTCAAAATGTTCGGCTGTCAGTTCCGGTTTTTGTTTCGGCTGTTTTTCTGGTTTCGGCTCACCTCTGTTGAATCTCTTGATGGTTTTGTTCTGCTGCTCCAGAGCTTCACCAAGTTCTTTCATCTCTGCTTGATTCTTCTGTGACTGTGGTGATCAGAAACACACAGAACTGAATATCATCCAACCATCCATTCATCCATCCAACCATCCAACAATTCATCCATCCAACCATTCATCCATCCAACCATTCATCCATCCAACAATTCATCCATCCATCCATTCATCCATCCAACCATCCAACCATCCATTCATCTATCCAACAATTCATCCATCCAACCATTCATCCAACCATCCATCCAACCATCCAACAATTCATCCATCCAACCATCCATCCATCCATCAATTCATCCATCCATCCAACCAAACATTCATCTAACCATCCAACAATTCATCCATTCATCCATCCAACCATACATCATCCATCCATTCATCCATCTATCCATCCAACCATCCATCCATCCATCTATCCATCCATCCATCCAACCAAACATTCATCCAACCATCCATCCATCCAACCATCCATCCATCCAACCATCCATCCATCTATCCATCCATACATACATACATCATCCATCCATTCATCTATCCATCCAACCATCCATCCATCCAACCAAACATTCATCCAACCATCCATCCATCCATCCATCCAACCATCCATCCATCTATCCATCCATACATACATACATCATCCATCCATTCATCTATCCATCCAACCATCCATCCATCCAACCAAACATTCATCCAACCATCCAAAAACTCATCCATCCATTCATCTATCCATCCATCCAACCATCCATCCATCCATCTAACCATCCAACCATCCAACCAACCATCCATCCATCAATTCATCCATCCAACCATTCATCCATCCAACCATCCAACCATACATCCATCCATCCATTCATCTATCCATCCAACCATCCATCCATCCAACCAAACATCCAACCATCCATCCATCCATCCATCCATTCATCTATCCATCCAACCATCCATCCATCCAACCAAACATCCAACCATCCATCCATCCATCCAACCATCCATCCATCCAACCATCCATCCATCCATCCAAACATCCATCCATCCATCCATCCATCCATTCATCTATCCATCCAACCATCCATCCATCCAACCAAACATCCAACCATCCATCCATCCATCCAACCAACCATTCATCTATCCATTCATCCATCCATCCATCCATTCATCCAACAAAGATAGCTAAAAATCAATATTTTTTACAGGCTGATTAGGGATGTTTTGACCAAGCCATATTGTTACACATCTCTTCACATGTAAGACGTTCACATTTCGTACAGCTAGCACTTTCCTTTCCCAAGTTATGACTAAAATTAATCTTAAAAAACAAATGTTGCTTCCTGCCCGACTCGACCAAGCTACTCCCCGCTGCCTCCAGCCTCAAACCCCACTGTCAATCCAACCAATCACGTCTCTTTGGCCATCTCCACCCACATCAAGACCTCCGCCAATCACGAGCAGGGCCGTCTCCGTCAAAACCTACTGCAGAGACCCCTTACTCGGACAGAGAGGGACTCGCAGGGAGACTCAGGAGAGAACTTGTAGAGAGTTCGTTGTGTTTAATGGGAGGTGTGGATTCAACAGCAGCTCTTGTCGACATTCTTTGGAAAGTGTTTTATTAATAAAAGGTCAAAAGAGCACACAGGTGACTTTTGGTTCCATTGTTTAGCGTTTAGTGCGCCGTTTTTAAAATGTGTCCTGCAGGCGACCAGGTGCCTGCGGGCACCGTACTGGTGACCCCTGCTCTACAGTGTGTCCAGAAATCCTCCCAGGGAGGTGTGTCAGTTCCATCCTGACCAGATGAACCACTTCAACTGGTTCCTCTGGATGTRGAGGAGCTGCAGCTCTACTCTGAGCCTCTCCTTGATAAGTCACCTTTTTCAGACCATGGCCTCAGTTTTATATATAAAGAACAGGTGTGTGTGTAAGATGTGAGTCCATGTGTCCTCACCTGTGCACTCAGCTCCTCTATCTGCCGCTGCTGTTCGTGAATCTGACAGACAAACTTCTTCTTCTCCTCCAGCAGACTGTTGATCGTCTCCCTCAGCTCTGATGGAACAAACAGCTGGTTTCAACCAACAGATTCAAAGATGATCAGTTTATTATTTAACCTGATGCTGCTGTTTTACAGGAAAACCTCCGTTCTGAGCAGCACAAAAACTGAGGCAGCAGCTGGAGCAGATTTCAAACAGAACAGTGTTTTTCATACAGTGAAGTCTTAAACAATACTATTAAAAATGTGAATAAAGTTAAATATATTGAAAAGTATGAAGATTACAAAATCCAAAAGTCAGAGCAGCTATCTCCTGAATGAGCTGAACGTTTTGATCTATGATTGGCTAAAACAGCACAAAGTCTATGGAGCTAAATTGGGATCATAAAGTTTGTTC